CCCTGGGCACCCCTGAAATGCAGGGAAACTGTCTCTTATGCTGCAGATTCCTCTGTCTGATGCTGGCTGGTGAGTCCCACAAGGGCTGGAGGGAGATGCTCTCATGGTCTCAGAGAAAAAACATCCTGGCTGGTGCTCCAAGGAGCTTGTTATTGTCTGTTCCTGTAACTCATCTCAAGCATTCTTAGGATTTGCTAATTTAGCCTATTTTTAGACAGACACCCTGTTCTAAAGACGCTGTTGTCCCTGAGCCTCCCATGTCAACTGCTCACCCACAAAGAGGGGAGGGGAAACTTCTCCTGCTGTGCTGGGACTTCTCTTGGAAACAGGGCCCAGGCTCTGTGCTGATCTTGTACCCAGAGAAGCTCTTGCCAGAGGGGAAAGAGCTGTCCCGGGAGAGGAAAAGGCTGTAAGGCAGTGGGAGGGGGAGCTGCTGGAGCAGCGATTTCAACATTCCTAATGACCCGCCTCCTCCAAAGGCCTGGAGACCCTTCCAGAAGTCTGAAATGTTGCTAAACAAGCAGCACTTCTGGAGGGCGGGGGGGGTCCTCAGGGGGGTCTCTGGGGGTGGGTGGCTCCTGCTGTGGATGCTCTCGGCTTGCACTGGAGGGTTTCTTTTTCCCCACCAAAACCTCCTTCACTGGCACTGCCCATGCGGGCTCTGCCCCGTGCTGCGGCTCCGGGGGCTGCTCAGATACCGAGATGCTGTCTGGGATTTCATAAACGCTTCTTTTCCTTGCCGCTGAGATTGCTAATCGCTCGTGTCTGAGCGAGGGAGGAGGCTCTGACAGACTGTCCTTCTCCCTCGGCGTGGGAGGGCAGCCCCTCCTCGGGCACCAGGTGCTGGAGCCCCCCGGAGCTGGGATTTATTAATATCTGCCATGTGATACCGCGGCTCTCCCTGCTCTGCAGGGAAAACACATCATAACCATGGGAACCTCTTTTCCTCAACCCCCTCAGCACGCCCCTCTAATCCAGGCAAGTCGCCCGCAGCCCTCGCAGCGATTAAACAGTGTATAATGAGCTCTGGAAATCCTGGGTGTCCCAGCAGTTCCCTCTGCCCTTCCTGGCGAGGGGCTGTGTAACAGGCTTGTCATCGGGAGGCTCCCAGGGCTCACGTTGCAAGGAAAAACAACCAGACTTGGCAGCTGGCTGAGCTGTTTTGGGGTCTGCGCAGACAGGGAGCGAGGCCGTGTCCCGGCTCGAATGTCTGAGCTGCAAATATCCTCGCTGGGACACCCAGCGTGCGGCTGCCGGCGATGCTGCGGGGCAGCGCTGCCAGCTCTGCCCTTCCCCTGCCCAAGCCGGTGCCAGGGCAGAGCCGGTGCGGGGGCTGGGGGGTCCCACGGGCTCCCTGAGCTGCCGCAGACGAAGCGGGAGGGACTTTGCTCGGTGCGGATCCCCGGGCTCGGCCCGTGCCCGGCGGCTTTGGGAAGGGCGGGTGGTTATCGAGCAGCCGGGGTGTGGCACAGCCCTGGCCCCAGGGCACCCGGCTTCTCGCAGCCGCGCCCAGGAGCGCCCTGCAGCCCTCCAAACCCAGCTCCCCACCTCCTGCCCCGCCTGGGTGCTGCAGTCCCGCTCCTGACACCCCCAGCCCAGCTCCTTTTGCTGCCTGCCAAGCCGGGCTGGAGCAGAGCTGGGGTTACTGGGCTGAGCTGCAGCTCCAGCCCCATAGCCTGGGTGTCCTGGTACAGCTGGCAGGTCCCCCACTCAGGACGTTTCTAGGAGTGTCCATCTGCATGTGAAATCTGTGACTCGTCCCCTTCTGCTTAGAGAGAATTGTGTTCCACAGTCTGCTTCCAGTAGCAGAAACTCTGCGATTTCCAGTCTGGATGTGTTTGTGCCAGCTTATTTCCATCTCTTTCTGTGCTAGCCTTGACTTAGCTGAGACAACAGAGCTCCTTCCCAGGAATTTCCATGCAGTTGATCTCCCAGCCCTGGCTGAACCAGCCTGTCCAGGCACGGCTGCAGTGCTGGGGTTCCCTCTGCCAGGGCTGCCCTGAGTGTCCCAGAGCTCTCTGCTGCTGCCACGAGCCCAGGGCACGGCTCATGGCACACTGTGGGGATGTGTGGTACCTGTGCCCACACCTGGGGGACAGAGCCAGACCCTGCCCAGCCCTCGCTGGGCCTGTGCATGGGGACACTGCTGTTCCCAGTGGCTCTGGGGAGGTCCTGATATCTGTGGCCAGTGTTTGCCCATCCCATGGCTGTGCCATGCTGGTGGCCAGCAGCCACCCTGTGATTCACCTCCTTCACCTCAGCCTTTCTCCTTTGCTCCTCCAAGCACAAGAGCCTGCAGCCGAGGCCCAAAATTCCTGTGAGGAGCCCGGGAGACCTCTCACTTCAACCCAGGGAAGGGAAGGGAGGAGAAATGAGGTTTGGAGGCTAATTCTGGCAGCATCACACATGAGAAAGATCAAAAACTCGGGGCAGGAGTACAAGAAAGGAGGGAAGCTGTTGCGTGCATGCTCCTGGAAGCTCTGACAGCCCTGGTTCATGCATCCTGCACGTTATTTCTGTACCTACTTAAATTAAAACCAGCCTTTTCTTGCAGATGCTGACTGGAGCCAGGCAGTTCTTCTCCCCAGGGGAGAATCCAATTTTCACTCCATCTCACTTGTGTTTTTGACCTGGAATGACTCTTCTTTTTATATTTAACAAACGCTCCCTCTGAGCCTTGTACCACACTGCACTTCTCACGCAGAGCTGGCAGCGTTGTGGCACAGGGTGCCCCGAGGCAGGAGACCCTGGGTGGTTTCCCAAGGTGGGCACCTGCTTACCTGGGCTCTGACCACCCCCAGGCAGAGCTGTGCTGTCACTTGACCAGAGGGGACACGAGCTTTGTGGGCAGAGCCCTGGCACAGCCCAGCCCGGCTGCTGTGGGATAGGGGGGCAGAATCCTGCTCCTGTGTCCACTGTGCCCTGGGCTTGGGGTCTGGAAATGGCAAGGAAGAGCCACATGCTGGTGCTGTGACCATGGGAGGGCACCGTGGGCTGCAGTCAGAGGAGTGGCACTGCTGCAGTCAGAGGAGGGACCCCACCTCCTGCAGCCCCTCACCCACCTGCACCCCAATTTCTGGCAGATCCCTTCACAGCTGGTTCCCCATGGGGATAACTGGCCCCAGACTCAGTCCATCTCCTCTGGGAACTGGGACAGACCTGGCTCCAACAGCACAGCCCCCAATTCCCAGAGGTTCCCACCTCTAGGAATAATTAGCAACAATTCAGAGGTGCCTTGGACCTGTCTAATTCTGGCTCCAGAGGTGCTTCCCTTCCTGCAGCACAGCCCTGCTCCCAAGCCTTTCCTATGCCAGTCCTGTAACTAAAACCTCTCAGAGGCTCAGGAGACACGGCGGGGGCCGGGCTGACAGGAAGGTAAATGGGCTTGAGGTATTTATTCACTCCTGCAGCTCTCGGAAGCCCTGGAGAGGGATTTACCTGCCGTGACTCGCCCGGGGCCGGGTGCTGACAGCAGCAGCAGACAGCAGCGATGTTTTGTTTCTAATTCCCTACACTTCATGAGCCCGGGCTATTCCGGGTGTCTCTCTAGCAAGATGTGGGGCTTCTCCGGGGTTATATAACTCAGCCAGGCCACGGCTGCTCTGTTTTGAGCCACCCTCTGTACTTGCTCTCAACACCTGGCGGGGCAATTAGTCACCGATTAGAGTCAGTGACGCAGGGCTCCAGCCCAGCCCACGGGGCTGAGGGACCGGCTGCCTTGGAGCAACGTGTCTCGTTCCTAATCCTGTGACTCCATCGTTAATCAGCCCAGGATAAGGGAGTAAATAAGTCCGTCATTGGAGACTGGTGCAGGAGAGGATAAATATTTTCTGAAGTGTTCCCCTCTGTTTGCGAGTGTCACACACCAGATCCGCGCGGGATGTGGAGAGGGAGCCCTGAGCAGTGGCATTAACTCCGGCCAGCAAACCTCTGGATCTCTGGATACCCTGTGGTCCCCACCAGTGCTGCCTCCCCAGGGAGCAGAGAGGATGGGCTGGTGCTGACACAGGGAATGTGCTGGGCCTGGATGTCCCCAGCACACAGACAGCAGGCTTGGCTGCCACAGTGGGCACAGAGGGGGACGGGGTTATTGTCCTCATCCCGAGCCAAAGGAGTGAGGCTCTCTCTGTTTGGTGTCCTGAGGGACAGCTCCTGCCAAGCGGAGGGGGGCAGCAGCTGGGGGAGCCCCATTTGATCACTGATGCCGCAGGACAGCCTCCCCACCTCCAAACAGCATCCCAAGACCCTCTTTCCCAGACTCCTGGGGGAAGCTGACCTCATTCCAGGGCTTTATAATGGGGAATAAAAAAATACTTTATGCCTAAAGCAAAGCCAGGGAGTATTCAAAAAAAGTATCTGCAGTCTGATTCCTCGAGCAGCACCATGAGTGAGGCAGCAGCCACGTCCACAGGCTCCACACTCTCGCTGTACCAGGAAAACAAAATCCTGGATTAGCTGTACACCCACTTGCAGGACACTGCCCTGGCAGGCAGCTCCAGCTCTCTGCCCTGCAGGACTCCAGGCTTGCTGCCTGTCCTTGGCTGGCTCCCGGGGGGGTCAGGGTCCCATGGGAAGGCTGTTAGAGCCTTCATTTCATTCTTAATCCAGAAAATTAGCAAATAAAAGCAGGATTCCATTTTAGGCCTTTGAATCCTGAAAGGCTGTTGCCAATGAGTCCTTCATGTGCTTGCCTGGCTGCACTGTGGCACCGGGAGCAGAGGCTGGAGGGGGTGGAAAAGCAGGAAGAGGGTGACTTGTTTTCATTTGAGCTGAATTCCAGCTTTCACTCCAAATCCCCGTTTTTATAGACTTTTCCGCTGAAGTCTGCTCCTGCCCGGGGCATGCCTGTGTAACCGCTCCTCTCTGCATTCCTCAGATTCTTATTCTGCTGGAGACTGGAGTGAAGACGGGGTCTGAGGTCCCTGGTGGAGGAAGGAGGCGAGGAGGAGGAGAAGGAGGTTTCCCTTGGCCTCTAAGCTGCGAAACCGGAAAACCAAACCATGTCACAGGTGATAGAATCCCACGTGTTGCGTGTTGGACAGACTGTGTGCATTTCCTCACCGGAGGAAAGCGAGAGCCTGCGCCCGGCGGGGTACCCGGGCTGCTCCGCGCTGCCGGCCAAGTACGTCTACTACTCCACAGAGGCCTGGACCGATCCCCGTTCCATGGTGCGCCCCAAGGCTCCCCTGCTCCCCAGCACGAGAGCGTACGGAGCCCAGCCCGTGTCGGAGCACGTGGCTGCTCACACACAGGGGAAGAACCAGCAGAATTCCTCCTTGGAGAGAGCCCCTGCCCCGCTCCAGCCGAGCAGGGAGGAGAACACCGGCACAGACCCCGAGGCTCAGCCCATGTCTCCCTCCCTGGACATAACCATAGAGACCCTCAACCAGATGATCCTAGAAATCGATCCGACCTTCCAGCCGCTGCCGTGCAGGCCGGTGGAGGATGCAGCCCAGCCTGCTCAGGGCGGCTCTGTGGCCACCAAGAAGCCGGACCCGGAGGCAGTAGGTGAGACAAAGGCAGCGCTCGGGCTGTGGAGACAGAGAGGCTCCCACCTGGTGAAAACCTTCTGCCAGAGCCTGGGGCACAGGGGTCGGGCACACGCCTGTCCCCTGGACCCACACAAGGTCCTGTGCTCCTGGGGAGGCTGGAAATGGGCATCAGGGACATTCCCCGCTGTCCCCAGGGGGTTCAGCGTGGAGGACTGTTCTCTGACATCAGGGTTAAGGAGCAGGACAGGCTGTGTATCCAAGCTCTGCCTAACTCCGGTGTTTCCACGGCCCTGGTCTGGTTGCTGTTGACATCTCACATCCAGACAGCTCAAAGGGCTCCAGAAGGGAAGAGGGAAAACAGCCTTTAGTTCTACCTGATGTTCATTTCCCTGTGTTTGGAGAAAACAATTCTCATTACAAGTGGGACTTGCTGCTCTTGGAAAACTTCTAAACCCAGTTGTCACCACCAGGGACTGGCCCTGGGCTCTGGGTGCCCAGTGAGGACCCTTCTCTCCTCAAGGGCAGCAGAACCTTTCCCAGGGTCACACTTGACCTGTGGGAACCCACGGATTTGCAGCCAGATTTCCAGAGCCCTGGGCTAAGGTATCAAGTGTTGCACAACCATCCCATTTAAGTGTTCCCAGTTCTTTTGCCAGGGAAATTCTTTTTCCAGGGCTTGTGCACTCCCCAGGCAGCATACCTGGCATAGGCAAGGCACCAGCAGCACATACCAGCCCTGTCTCTGCTCACAAGTGCCTTATGTGAACCCTTGTGCAGCTCTTCCCTGTCATCCCTGCAACCCAAGCTCTGATTTGTGAGCTGCTCCTGATCCAAGTATTCCTGCCTGGGCTCTCCTGCTCATTTTAGGTGTTCAACACCTTGTGCACGGCACAGCCCCAGCGTGTGGGGAGCTGACACTGCTGGCAGGACAGGTCCAGGGTGGTCCAGGTGCCTCAGGTACTTCCCAAAAGCCTTATTGCCTGTCCCTGTCTTTTACACACAGAAATACCTTGACAATCAGTCCTCAGGCTTCTTTCCACAGCAAATGTATGTTAAAGACAAGAAAAAAATTCAGTTCTCCCTGAGCCCTCATGCAACAAGGATGTGAGCCCTCAAACACGAGGATGGCGGGGCTGGAGAAGGATGAGGTGGCACAGGACAGGGCAGCAGCACTGCAGCAGCCAGGCAGTTCCAGAGCAGTGTCCCTCCTTCCTGCTGGGATGGACAGGGCGGCCTTGCAGATAAAATACCGTGACAAAGTGCAGATTCAGCTCTGGCTGCTCAGTGCCTGACCCATTCCACTGCCCCACTCCATGCTCGGGGGCTGGAGCCCCAAGCAGCTCTGCAGGTAACGTGCTGGTGGTCTGGAGAATCTGGCTCCAAGTGTGGAACTGAACATCTGGAAAGCTGGCCAGGAATTCAGTGGGAAAAGCCTCACTTTAGCTTTCATTTTCTTTTAACAGCTCTTGTTTTTTTTACACAAACTTCCTCCCATGGGGCAGCGTCCCTGTTCACTCACCTCCTCCCTCTCCAGCCCTGCAACCTGTGCCCTGATGTGAGGGTGGCAGGGACTGATGGAGCCCAAGAGAGGCGAGAGGGGACTGTTCTTGTCTTGTGGAGACCACGAGGAAGCTTTAAACATGGCACTCGATCCTGATGGGTCCCTTCCAACTCAGTGTGCTAGTTTTAAAACCACCACACTCAGCACAGTCTGTCATTCTGTGAAACGCTGCAGCAACAGGAGGCACGTTCATGAGAGGCACTATTCCCTCTGGATCCTTCTAGTTCCTAGAGGAGAAAGGAGATCTCAGATCTCGGCTTGCGTGACATCTGAGCTCTGTATTTGTGGCACTTTTGCCACTCCTTGATGCTAGAAAACTTGCCAAGGTCTTGAGCAAATATTTGAGGTTTAACCACAGGTGATAAGAGAAGCAAAGGCAGAGAAGTAGGAGGTAAAAGGCCTCATGAGCCTGGTGCACGGATGCTTGTCAGTCCTTTAAAGCACAATTAAAATCCCCATTTCTTTCTCCTTTTGGGGAGACGTTGACAAAAAGCATCCGGCCAGCATCTGGCCAGCTCAACTGCAAGGGTTTGTGCCGGGACACGTGGCCACAGAGCTTCCCCCAGGCTGGGCACTGGAGGAGCTGCTGCTGGCAGCCAGGCTGTGGAGGGGCAAGGCTCTGGCTCTGTCCTGCCTGATCCAGCTGTGTCCCCACTGGGACCAGCCCTCCTGGCTCACCCAGCACCTCCTTGGTGCTCGTGGCTGGCCGTGTTTATCCAATCTGGTGCTGGGATGGGCCCAGAGAAAGGGCTTGGGGAGTAACTTCTGTAAAGACACGTGCTTTTCCTGCTCATCCAGCTCCGTGCCCAGAGTAGCCAGGGCCAGAAGCTCCCACACAGCAGGTCCATCAGACTGTCACACCCTGGGCAGGGAGCTCAGGGCTGTCCGAACAGTTTGCTGCAGCAAAAAGGATTTTCCCTCTCTGAGAAACACCTTTGAGAAGGGGAACTTTCCTGAACTCCATGGCAGGGCAGGAACCAGGCGCTGGAAGCAAAGCTGGGCACGTCCAGACTGGAAGGGAGGTGCACACCTCTGGCACTGGAGTGATTAACCACCAGAGCAGCTTCCCTGGGATGTGATGGATGTGCCATCGCTGCAAGCACTCAAATCAATCTGAATGTCTCTTGCTAAAAGGCCTCTTCCAGCTCAGCCAGAAATGCTGGCTTTGTCCAAGGAAGCCAGGACGTGCATCAGGCACCCTGGTGCTGGCTGTGAGGTTCCACTGAGGGTTTGGGACAGGAGATGCTCTGTCAGAAGGAGGAGCTGCCTCTCAGCACCAATGGAACAGAGAGAGGAACCCCACAGCAGGACATAGGCACAGAGACTGCCTTGGAAGTTACTTCTCTAGAGAGATTTGTGCAGGGTGGGAGAAAGGAGGAGGGAGCAGCCCTCTCCTGCCGGGTCTGGTCCTGCAGTGGACACCAAGAGTGTTGTAACTGCCCCTGTCCCACGTGGATTTCCTCTGCCTCACTGCCACAGTGTGGATGGAAGTCCAGCTGTACCTGGGGCCAGGTGACATCCCCCTGCTCCTCTGCCCCGGGTGTGCAGGGCCACCCTCTGAACCTGACGTCACCCTGAGGGGAGCAGCCAGGTGTTTTTCTCTTGAGTCAGGTACAAACAGAGCAGCTGCTTGAGGGAACACCCACCTCTGGCTGCAGGTCTCGGCAGGTCCTGGCTGGGTAATGCTGGCGAGGGGGGTCTGAGCAGCCAGACGGGACCGCACGTAACCCCCTTCCCTGGGAGCCTGCCAGCACCGGGGGGTCACCTCACCTTGGGATCTGTGGGGAATCAGCCCTCACAGGCTCTCAACAAAGGGTACTGCTGGACCCCCAGCCCCGCAGAGCCAGAATCCACAGCAGGAAGAACAGACACACGTTCCTCACAGAGCCTTACTAAGGAACCCAGCTTGCACACCAGACCCTTCATGACCTCCTCTCTCTGCCTCTCTCTCTGCAGACATCAAGTACATAGAGCTGACACCGGGCAGAGCCACGGGGCCTGACCAGCCACGGGGCACCCCCAGCCCTTCAGGCACCCCCTTCTCCAGATCCCCCCAGGCCAACAGCTTCCTGCCCCAAAAAGGGGCGCTCGGAGGCAAATACAGCACCAGTGACAGCGTGGTTTTCTCCAGCCCACCCGGACCCTCCAGCCCGCAGTCGGCCGCCCTGAGCTGCAGCACCAGCACGCCCTGGCAGTGCCTGGCAGGACACACGGACACAGTCTCCTACAGCCCCGGGGCCCTCAGCACCTCCCCAGGTGTTGACAATCTGCTGAAGCCCTTGCAGGTGTTGAGGGCCCGGCAGAGGGGCAGTTGGGTGTCCCAGCTCTCCACGAGCCCTGGCTCTGACACCAGCTACATCCTGGGCAGGTAAATGCCACCTGTGCCTGGTGGAAGGGGCACAGGGCAGTGCCCCAAGTCCCTCATTCCTTGGGCTGGGAGATGATGCCCTGCAGGGCTGCTGCAGTCGCTGGGACGGTGTCTGTGTGTGAACAACCCCCTGATCTCTGCTCTGTCTCCCTCCTGCAGCAGCACCCACTCGCTCCACAACGAGGACTCGGATGCTTCGGCCGCTGCCTCCCCGTCCCCCGTCAGCTCCCTGGGAAGCCCCTGCTCTCCTTCCTCTGCCATCGTGTCTCACTCCAGGGAGGCTTTTGGCCAGAGCCCCGCACAGCCCCGGGCAGGCAGCTCCCCCAGCACCTCCCTGGGCCAGAAGGGCCAGGCCAGCAGCTGCCCCCCCTCCATCCTCACCTCTGCTGCCGACATCCCGGTGCTGCTGGTGAACGGGTGCCTGGAACAAGGGGATGGACCCCCTCGGCTGGCCAAAGCCCCCCCCAGCTGTGGCATGCAGCCCCCCGTGCCCGGCTGCAGCCCAGCCTCGAGGCTCGGTGGCCTGAACAACGCGCTGTCAGCACCTGCTCTCAGCTGCCTCTCGGACAGTGAGTCACGGGCAGGGCAGGGAGGAGCTGCAGACCCCAAAACCTGCTGGGAAAGGGGGAGCAAACCCAATTTTGCTTTAGCAGAGGATGAGATGAGAGGCTGTGGATGAGAGCTCCTTGCTCCCCATGCTCCAGGTGGTCTCCTGACCCTGGATTAGCCACGGCCTTCTGCCCACCAGCGTCCTGGGGCATGGGCTCGGCAGCCAGGAATGCTCTGCTCCCTCCAGGAGATGCAGATGTACCTATTTATAGTACCTGAGAATGAGATACATCCTTCTGTCCTGTTTGCTGCCCCAGACCAGGCTGGGAGGAGGGGTTGGGGTTCCCATTTGCTCTGAGGACACCAAAAGGTACCAGGGTTCACCAGGTCTCTCATTCAAGAGCAAACACTGGGGCTATTGTTCTCTGGAGGAGACGAGCAGAGGCAGCTCTCGGGGCAGAGGGTTTTAATTGGGATCCTTATGGAAATAGCAAGAGGGTGTGTGGGTCAGATCCTGGTGTAAATCCCATGGTCCAGTGGATTGTGCAGGGCTGGACAGGCTGGCACTGCCAGGGGATTCCATGTGACCCTCTCTGCACTACATCATAGCCTGCCAAGAGAGATAATTACATGGAGAATGAGCTGTTCTGAGGACTGGGGAAGAAAGGATTCAAAAGGATTGAAAAACCTTCAGCCCTGGCCAGCCTGAGCGAGAAATGTCTTTGCTGGGCTCTGCCATCGGTGGAGGTCCTTCAGGTTCCTGCTGGCCTTGACATCCCTGTGGTCTCTTGCAGGTCCCCTGAAGGCAGGGCAGCCCACCATGAAGTTTGTGATGGACACTTCAAAATACTGGTTCAAGCCAAGCATCAGCAGGGACCGAGGTGAGGCAGGAAAGGCTCCACGGGTGTGAGCCCACCTCAGGCTCTGGCCTGTCCCTGGAGTTCTCTGGTGTCCCTGTGGGGACTCAGTGGGGGCAAATCAAAGCCTACTGGGGGCTGATGGGTGTGGAGGGACCATCTCACAGGTTGAGGGGGGGTGGCACAGAAACAAGGGCTGTGCCACGGCCCCTCCAAGTCCAGCAAAGCTGTCACACAGCGTGGTCTGGGCAGGGGCTGAGTGTCCTGGGGACTGCAGGGACCGTGGCACCAAGCCAGGGCCCTGCAGGGACGCTGCAGCTGGTGCCACACAAGGGGTGTGCGTGTCCTTGGCACACGCTCCAGAGCTTTTCCTGCTGCTGCCAAGGAGCAACTCCCTGCAGAGCAGCAGGGCACAGAGCAGGGGGTCCCACCTGCTGTGTTTGGCTGAGCCCCTGCCTGTGCTCTGACAGCAATCCAGCTGCTGAGGGACAAGGAGCCGGGCACGTTCCTCGTGCGGGACAGCACCTCATTCCGGGGCTCCTTTGGACTGGCCATGAAGGTTCCTGCCTCTCCCTCCGACAGCCAGACAGGTACAGGGATGCAAACGGGGGGGATTGCTTCGAGGGTTTAACTGAAGCTACGCAAACTAAAGCCAGATGAGAAGCCACAGGAGTCTGGGAGGTGATGGCAGCGAGTCTGTGGGTGCCCATTCCACTTCTCACAGGGGCTGGCACCATGGTGGTGGCACAAAGCAGCTCCAGTGATGCCCTGGGACAGCACTCTGGGGTGGGCAGGGGTGGCACAGTGTCACTGGGGCCGGTGCTGATGCTGATTATGGTCCCTCTTGCAGGGAAGGAGAGCAGTGACCTTGTCCGGCACTTCCTCATCGAGTCCTCCACCAAAGGGGTTCACCTGAAAGGTGCCAGCGAGGAGCTGTACTTTGGTAAGGACACTGCTGTTGCCCACAGCAGCCCTGGCAGTCCCAGGAGCTGCTTCCAAAGCCCCTGGAAGCACCAGCCAGGACCTGGCGAATGTGTCGCACACCTGCCAGCACAGGAACCCCCCAGCCCCAGGTCCTGCCTGCACTTCCCTGACAGTGAGACCGTGGCAGTGGCTCCAAAGCAGGAGCATGAGCTCCCTGGGACACTGTTGCAGGCTGGAGGTGTGTGGGTGGGGGGTGTTCCAGGCACCAGGCCCCCCCCAACTCACAGTTCTGGTTGCAGGGAGCCTCTCTGCCTTTGTCTACCAGCACTCCATCACCCCGCTGGCACTGCCCTGCAAGCTCAGCATCCCCACCCGAGGTAGGTGACGGGACACAAGGGGAGCTCCGAGCGGCCCCTCCGGGCAGGTGGGAGTGGTTCTGCTGTGGGGAGGGGTCTGAATGCCCCCGGGTGCCTGCGGGGGGCTGCTCCCCTGGCTGCAGGTGGAGCAGGGACCTGCAGAGCTGACCTGGGGATGGGATGGCGGTGACTCCGTTCCTCTGGGGATGGGGAGAGGGCAAGGGAAGCAGGAGTGATCAGAGGTGAACAGAGCCCAGAGAGGGAAATGAAGGACAATTAAGTTAATTACTGCTCTAAACCCCTGAAATTAGAGTTGTCCTTTGAGCCTCTTGTGAGATAAGGAACGGCCAAAGAGGTGACCAGCTCAGCCTGGCCTGTGGCATCACAGCTCCTGCTTGTCCTTTGTGCAGATCTCACTGATGGAGAGGACAGCCCTGACTGCGCCCCCGAATCTGCGCCGTCCCTGGCCAGGAAAACTGCAGGTGAGGACAGGAACCGGCTGCTGGCCCTGGGGACAGCCTGGCTGGCAAGAGCTGGAGCCTTGGGGACGCTGTGACAGCAGCAGATCACCCCTGTGCAGTGGTGGGCACTGATGTGACATCCCCCTCAGCCTCCCCATGGGGCTGGAGATACCTGCAGGATTTCTGCAGGTTTTTCCCTGGGCTGCAAGGGAAGCTGATATTTTTAAGGAAAGGAGACTTGGGGTCCTCAAGATGCTCGAAAACACAGTTCTTGAGGTCATGAGGTTGATAAAAGACCCCTGGTTTCCATGGTTTAATGAGTTCCTGATTTTTAAGCCTCTCTCCTGATGGGCTCCAATGGGGGTGGAACAGCTGGAGCTTTAGGAGAGGGATGGGCAGTCAGGGGCTGCTGAAGGGACCTTATGGGGCACATGTGGGAATGACAGGGAAGGGTTTGTGCACCCCAGCCTGGGTGGGCTCCAGGTGAGGGCAAAGAACGAAGGGCAGGAGACCACACGGATGGGTCACAACGCAGGCTGGGGAGCTGGGGAGTGCTTTGTTTTGCTGGAAATTCTGAAAAATCAGTTGGCAAGCTGGAAAGTTTAGTTTGACCCAGCACAGCCCTTTAAACAGCTCAATCAGCCTGAAATGTCATGTTTTAGGTTGGCCTTCAGCCCTTTGTTGGCTTGGGGTATTTCTGCTTTTCATTAAAGGAAATATGTAATAAACAGAAAAAAAAGAAAACAGCAAATGTGACATTTAAAAACGGGAAATTAAATACTTTGACTTTTACAACAATTAGTGCAAAGAATTAAAGTAAACCAAACTAAATTAGTGAAGAATTTCTGAGTCACCAAATCTTTTAATTTTCATCAAAACAAACCTGACCCGGGTCCGTGTGAGGGATCTGCAGGATGGCCCCTGGGACCCAGCCCTGGATCTGGCCCGGGTCACACCCGCACTGAGCAGGGCCCTGTGCTGTTCCTGCAGTGTGCAACGTCCTGTACCTCAATTCTGTGAACGTGGAGACGCTGACGGGAGCCCCGGCCATCCTGAAAGCCATCTCCTGCACCTTGGAGCTGGAGACACTGCCCACACCCACCCTGGTGCACTTCAGGGTGGCGGAGCAGGGCGTCACGCTGACCGACGTGCAGAGGAAGTAAGAGCCCAGGATGGGTCAAGGGGGTGGCCCAGGGGAGGTTTCCAGCTCTGTCCTCACCTCCCAGCCTCAGGAAAACCTGCCCTGGTTGGACAATCTCATGTCACAATCCAGGGATGGACTGGACCCCTTAACAAGGGGTGCTGGTGGCATCGCAGGGGTGGGATGCAGGAACCAGGGTTGGGATTTTGGGATGCCTTGGGATCCTCAATCTCCCACAAGCACAGCAGGGCTTGGATTTGTGAATTTGTGTCCTTGCCCAGGCCCTTCATTTCCTAACAATTCCCTCTCCTCTTCCAGGGTGTTTTTCAGGCGACACTACCCCTTGGCTGCCATCAGGTTCTGTGGGATGGACCCTGAGAACAGAAAGTGAGTTTTGGGCAGCTGTGCCTGTCAGAGCCACCTGCTGTGCTCCCTCCCCTGTGGTTCCCGGTGCCTCTGCACCACTTCAGACCCCAAATCCCATAAAACTGCCCTGGGCACGCTGTGCTGGGGTGGATCTAAACAAAACCCTTGGCTTTGCAGCTGATGGAATGAGTTAAACATCAGCCTTTGAGCAACTCCAATTCTGTTCTTCCCCCAGGTGGCAGAAGTACTGCAAGTCCTCCAGGTAAGAGCAGAAACTTCCCGCACGGAGTGGGGGGAATGGTGCTGCTTTGGGAAGTGGTTGCATTGCAGAGCAGCAAAGAATGAGCTTAAAAATGAGAAGGGGATGTGATAGAAGTTACCATGGTGGCAGGATGAGGCGTGGGACTGATGGGTGAAGCTTTGTGGGGAGAGGGTTGCTCTGTAGGTTTGGATGAGAGGTTTGGCTGAGCTCAGTTCTCCACATCCCCTTGTGCAGAACCCCTCATCCAAATCCCACAGCCTTCCCAGGGACTTGTGCTGGGCTCAGGAAGTGAGTTTATATCTGGCTCTACCTTGTGCTCAAGAATCTTTTCGCAGCTGGGGAAGCCTTGCCAAAAATGCTCCTCCCGGCTGCTTGGCTTCCAAGGAAACGTGATTGGGGAGCGGGCCAAGGTGGAATTGCTGGAACTGGGATTTGGCTTTGTGGCTGGGCTGGTTTCAGCCTATTCCTTCAGATTCCTGGATGCAAACTGAATAAGCCTCTTTTTTTTCTCAAAGAATCTTCGGGTTCGTGGCCAAAAACCAGGCAGACTCGGAGAACCTGTGTCACCTGTTTGCAGAGTACGACACCGTGCAGCCAGTGTCCCTTGTCATCGACCTGCTCCGCCAGCTCCTGCCCAGCCCGTAGGGACAGAACCCTGGGACGCTCAGGGCCAGCAGCTGCCCACACTCTGCTGAGCTTCTCCTGCTCCCCTTCTGCTTCTGGGTTGCATTTTGGCAACAGCATGTATTTAGACTTTTTTGTTACGCACCGTCACGTCAGGAGTCTCAGCTAAAGACTTTCAGCTCTGCTGGGATGAGATGCTCCTCCAGCCTCTCCGTGGGGCACTGGCTGCCCTGGAGAAGGGGCGAGAGCTGCCCAGGAGGGACAAGAGCTGTGCTCTCTCTGGAACCACTGTCCCCCAGCTGGACCACAGTGCTCTGGCTGGGGTTTCTACCAGCCATGAGGTTCTCTGTTCTTGGGGTGTCTGGGCTGAGGGAGGTCAAGGAGCTTGGCTGAGCTCCCACTACTGGGGACCCAGCCCTGACGCCCCAGTGCTGCGGGAGGGAAAGTCTGGGGAAGGAATCACCCCCCTGAGCAGCACAAAGAGGCAGCTTGGCAAATCAAAGTGTATAAAATGACTAAGTCCTGCTGGAAACCTGCTCCCCTCAAGGAGCATCCACAGGCAGGAATGACAGAGCAGTGCATTTTTCCTGATGCTGGGAAATTCTCCTGCCCTTTTACGCAGCGCAGGGTTGCGGGCGGGCTCGACCTCCCAGCATTGCAGAGAGCTGGGAAATAAATGGTGACATTTCCATGACAGTGAAACATTGGGTTTTTGGAAATGACTTGCCTGAATTTGGGCCGGATTCTCAGATGACGTAAATTGGCAGGGCCTTGAGGAAGACGGTGCTGCCGTGATCTGCAGCAGCTGAAGGGTCAGCTCATGCTGCAGCTCGGAGCAGAAAGCGGCTCTGAGGACACCACGCTCCTCTCTACCTTAGTTCTCATTTGGTGCCTCTGCATTTGTTTAATTTTGGCTCCCATGCTAACGAGCCCTCTCAGGGGTATTTTCAGTAAAGCAGTAGAACATTTATCCTGCCACAGGCACCACAGGGATGGCAGCAACAGAGACACTCGCTCTGCTCCAGAGCAGCTGAACAGATGCACCCATGGCAGAGCCCTTCTTCTGCAGCCAGGCTGCGGAGAGGCTCCAGCTGTGGCCACTCTTGGCAATGACCAAAACAGATATTGGGGTCACCACAGAGGGGGCACATGGGACTCTGAGAGGACACAGGAGCAGCTTTGTCCCCCTGGTCCCTCTGCCCTGTGCTCTGCCCAGTGATCCCAGCACTGCAGGGTGAGCTCGGGAGCTGGTGCCCAGGGGATCCAGGAGCCTCTGCTGTCCCCATCGTGCTGCAGGGACCAGGGGCCTGCAGCTCCCGAAGATCACAGGCAGCTCAGGCTGTGGGACCTCAGCCCCAAGACCCTGGGGCAGGCCCAGGACCCCCAGAGCTGGACTCTGTTGTGGTTATTGTGTTGCTGGTCAGGATCAGCAACTGGGGGTGGGGACAGGCAAAGGCTTTGGCTCCACACGGTGCTTTGGGGGGGTTGTGCTGCCTCCCTCGATCTCAGCCAGCCCTGGTAACCACCAGCACAGGGCCAGGACACAGGGCTGGGCTCCAGGAGGGCTGGTGTCGGCCCTGGTCTGGTGGCCGATCTGCCGTGCCAGCAGATTTCTGGGCTGTCTGTATTGGCTGCAGCCGCCTCCGGCCCCATCCCGGTGGTGTTTGCACAGCACCAGCACCGCCGGCCACCCGGCTCCGGTAACCGGGGCATCGGGCTGGCACCAGCCCCGGATGGCACTGCCAGCCCCGGGAGCCACCAAACAGGGACTCAGCGAGCTCCTGGGCCGTGACCCCGGGCAGCACTGGCTGCAGACACTGGGAGAGAGCCAAGCCATGACCGGGAAGCGTGCGGCTGTCAGAATTCCTATGCCTGGACATCTCCCGCCCGCATCCTGACACCCTCCCAAAACACCGAGCAGGGCCGGAGATGCCCGGTGCACCCCGGCACCAGCAGGCACCTGCACACGGGCTGCGGCTCATCAAGGCTGTCAGCACAGCCTGGCCACGAGCCCATGTCCCTGGAGCAGCCAGTGCCTGTCCCTGTCCTCTCCTGAACTTTGAAGCCAGTCCAGGGTCCCCTCCCCAGCCTGGCGCCGTCTGCGGTGGTGCTGTGACAGTGACAATCCTCCCGGTGGCACCGCTGGAGACTCTGAGCTGGGAGTCACAAGGAAGCAAGAAAACATTTGTTTCCCACCCCATCCCTGCTCAGTGAAGTTCTTCCAGAGGCTTGTGGCCTTTTGGGTTTCCAGGGCTGCTGAACCCCAAACCCAGTGCAGAGCCAGGAGACCAAGTCCTTGTGCAGAGATGGTGACCAGAGCCTGTCCCCACACCAGTGGGATCCCACAGCCCCTCCTCTCCCATAATTTAAAGCCATAAAAGACAAAACACACTCAATAGAAACACATCAAATAACAGGAAATTAAATACAGTAATTACCTTTTTTGAGGATACAAAGGCTCATGTGTACTGTAAAAGGTCGGTGCTACACAGGAATCTGATGGGACGGGCTTGGCCCAGGAGGGACGGACAGGGACCCCTTGGGCACCAGGGGATGCGCTGGGGATGGGGGACACTGGTACATGGTGGTGTGTAAATACAGCCCTAAACTACAGGAGAGACGCTACAAAACGCTGGAGCCCTCAGAGCGGGACACAGAACGTGCCCTGGTGCATCGGCATTGCCAGGAGCCCCCAAACCACGAAAGGCCCTGCTGGAGCTGCCCTGGTGTCCACAGGGAGCGGCCGAGTGGCCGAGGCCACCGGGCTGGCGCTGCCATTGCGCAGTGTCCGGGGCTGCCGCAGGGGACTGGCACTGGGACTGGCCCTGGGAACCCCTTCCTTGGTGCGCTGGCTCTGGGGGGTGGCAGCAGCAGGGACCCCCCTCCCCACCGAGGACTGTCCTGGCAAATTGACTCGTTTTAGAAGCTGTGTGTGAGCAGGGCCACGGGCAGCCAGGGCAGGCAGGGATCTGGCAGGGCAGGGGATCAGGAGAGCAGAGGGTGTTTCACTAAAACTGAAACACTTCATTCCCATTGCGGGGGCCTTGGACAGGACAAATCCACATGGAAAACCAAAACCTACCACTGGGGCCATGGAGCCAGAGGGTGGGGCAGGAGGGAATTGGGGAAGTCCCCTCTGTCTTTGGCACACTTTCCACGGCATTTTTATGTGAAAAATTTCCATCCCAGCTTGAAGAAAAACCAGGCACAAAACCAGTGGCAATTTCTCAGCTGAGAACTTTGTGCTGGTGAAATCTGCAGATCCCATCACGGAGACGTTCCAGAATCCATCCCAGTTTTATCACATTGGCCAAGAAGAGAAGACAGGAGCCATCACCAAAGCCATCATCATGCCCTGGTCCCTGGGGATGGAGAATTCCAGCCTCGGGGCCTCACACAGTCACACAGACCCCACCAACAACATTTTTTAAATACTAAAAAATTTAGGTAAGAAAGAAAAATCTCAAACTGAAAGAAGCTCTTCCCCCTGGGATGTGTTTCCTGGGCATCCCTCACCCCTCCACCCTCCCCTCAATGCTGCTTGCCTGGGGATCCCGACCCCCTGACCCCAGGATGGAGGAGGGGGAGACAGGATGGGTGGGAGGCTTTGTCCCTGCACAGGGAGTGGGATGGGGCTGGGCTGTGGGGAGGAGGTCCCGGGCTGTGGGGCTGGGAGGCTGCAGCAGGGAAGGGGAAGGTTTCTTATTGCTCTGTGAGGCCACAGTGCCCTTCACACACACACGCTGGGGTCTCTCCAGATCCCCCAGTCCTTGCCTGGGCAGCCTCTCGCCAGCAGGGAGGGCAGGATGAGGCACTTCTGCTGCTGCGGAGGTCTGGCATGGAGGGCACCGAGCTGCAAATGTGATGCTGCCACTGCACCCCCCGAGGTGCCAGGTGTCCGAGGTTGCCTGCGGGGCCGGGCTGAAAACCAGGGGTACCACGGGGCAGCAGCAGCAGCATCAAGGGTACCTCCCACCCACTCCACCCAGACAGCCCGACCCCAGCCCCAGAGCAGCATGCTCCAAGCCGTGTCCGTGTGGGATGGAGGTGCCGCTGGCACGTGCCGGGACCCCTGGCAGTGGCCGATAGTGGTCATGGCGCAGGTGGCGGTGCCGTGGGCAGCCCGTGGCGCAGAGCACGCTGCCATCCGAGGCGCATCCCGGGGTCCCCCGGCACCAGGGCGCTGCTCAGCAGTCACGTCCCCTCTCCTTCTCTCCAAGGCAGCCCAGGCGGGAGTCCTGGCCCTGCACGGCGCGGGGCCGCCGCGGTCACGCTCACATGCTGTCCGCCAGCTGGTGACAGTCCAAGTCCCCCTTCAGCTCCAGGAAGCCCGGCAGCTTCACTCCCGTCTTGCGGTCCACACACCAGCACTTGCCCCGCTGCCCATCCAGCGCCGGGTGACACTGTGGGGATGGCTTTGGTCAAGGACACCCAGCCTGGTCCCCGTGGCCATTCCCATAGGCTGACTGGCAATCAGGAGCTCTCTTTGGGGCTTTACCACCCCCATCGCACCCTGGGGCTTTTGTAAAGGGCCCCCAGCATCCCAAGGGTAATTCCCACCAAAGCCAGGATCCCTCCCAGCCTCACCCTGGCTCTAAAAATCCCCCCCAGTCCCCCACAATAGGTCAGAGCCCCTCCTACCTGCTTGGGGTGGAAGTTGCCGTTGCGGTCGCAGTTGGGGATGGGGATGACATACAGGTCCTCATGTGTCCGGGTCTGCGAGGCCGCCAGCCTCTCCAGCGCCCGGTGCAGCTCGCTCTGGCACGAGCCCTGTGCCTGGGGAAAAGGAGGGGCTGAGCTGGTCACAGGGCTGGCACCTGCTCCTGGCCCAGAGCCCCAACACCCTGGAGCAGCCACCCTGCCCTCCCCAGCCTTGTGCTCACCATGACCCGCGTGTCCTCGCGGTGGTGAGGGCTCCCGCTGCTGCGCATCTTGTTGCCGTTGTTGACCCTCTTCGCCTGCTGCTTCTGCAGGCACTTGCGGTCGTGGATGCTGCAGGGGCTGAAGCTGTTGTTGGGGTGGTCGATCTCCTCCTTCTCTGCAGAGACACA